TAGCCCCGCCTCCCCAGGACACCAGAGCGGATGGAGGACACCACCTCAGTCCTGTCCCAGGTGCACCACTCAGCTTTACTGCCCCTCTTTCCACAACCACCTACCAAGGCACTTCTTTCTTCATAGCTACTCAGTACACAGAGGAAATGCAGTGTAGTGGTTAAAAAAATGGATACAGAAGATGGACTTTCTAGGTTTTGATCCCTGCTCTGCCACTCCCTTGATCTGTGATTTGGGAAAGGTTTCCATCGATATCAGTTTACACGTGTGTAAAATGGAGACAGTATGAGTACCTATCACATAGTGTTACTATTCCTTTAAGAATGAAATGAGTTAATACATCTAAGACATTTAGGGCTGTGCCTGGCGCAAAGCAATTACTCAAGAAATATGTTGCTGTTGTTGTTAGAACAGGTGAGCTTTCTGTACCCGATTCAAAAATAGGGATCAACTCTGTGTTTTGGCGGCAGTGAAGACCAACAGATATTAGGAGGCTAGAACGTTATTTTTTCCAATGTTCTGTTTTGGTTTTGAACATGGCAGGTCCTGGTTGTTGCAAACACAGAGCACTGTCTTCCTAACTTATGTCCTAAATCAAGTCATGCCAGATGCAACTGGTTGAGTTCAGTTCAACATACATACAATGAGCACCGGTTAAGTGTCAGACACTCCTAATGAAGGCTAGAGATATATAAATGTATGAGAAATGACATATCTGCCATGGAGAGCATATAACTTGCTGGGGAAGACAAGCCATAAACAGATTATTTGAAAACAACTTCAATTTGGTCATTATTCTCACAAACCAAGACAGCCTGAAAAAAATCTACTCAACAATTCATAGAGTGTTTGTTCCTGCTTGTTAGTGACCTCCTCACTGCTCATCTTCTGTCCTATTAATGCTTCCACATTAATAGATGAGAGAAAAGTAGACGTTGAGGAGTGGTGATGAGGAATGAGCAAAGAAACTAGTATTTTGGTGAAAATACCAACAATTAAGTTCAAATCAATGTACAATGCATAGAGGGGCTAATGAAAAAACCAGCCCACCCCCACCCTGTTGGTCTTGAGACGCTCCAGCCAGTGATACATTTTACAATGAAGCAACATATACAGCATTTGATTTTTTTTAAAGGTTCTGATTTCAGCCATAGTGCTTTACCATTTCAGAAAGATTTTAAAAAGGGATTAAAGCCCAGAAAAAGTGACACTTATAAGTGATTCTTACTAGTTTACCACCCGGAAGACACCCTACTGAACACCTTGCTCACAGTCATGTAAAGAACAATAGTAGCTTCCATAAGCAAGCACTTTACACTTTAGAAACAGTTCTCCTAAAATGATATCATATGAGCCTTACAGCAGAGCTGCGAGCTCGACTCGGGTGTGTATTATTATGTCCTCTTTCCACGTGAAAGAAATGGAGGCTCAGCAAAGTGATGTTTCAAATGATTAGAACTCGGGATTTCTATTTGATCTTTTTACTACATTAACTCAAATTTCATTTTGCTGTTAATTCTGCTGGGTTTCCTGAAACAGAGGAGCTTCTAAGGCAAGAGGAAAGCAAATCAAAAGAGGAGGACCTGGAAATCACTAAGCTGAATTAGCAGCTACACAGAGCACAGAAAGAAGTACGCATCCGATATGCAGCACTTAGAAGAAGGCACTTCATATTTTTAAGCCTTGGCTTAACTACTAAAAGATATGCCATCCAAGGGCAGGGCTGAAATATTGAAAACCAAACCTTGATAACATCTTTGCCTGACAAATCTTGGAGAATAAGAGGTACTTGGGATGGGATGGTCACTGGCGACCAGCTGGAATGTCATGAATTCAAGCACTGGTTGGCATCTCTGTCTTCCTGCCCCACAGAGTTAAGTGCAGCGTGTTCTATGAGAACAGCGTGCTTGTCATTGTGAGCTGGCTGGTGGCTCTGCATGTGCCTGTGGCTGTGACACTGGGTCAAAAGTTAAGAGCGCAGATCTTACTGGACAAACGTGAATAAATCTTCCCAGTTCATCTGTACCTCAAAATGTGGGCTCAGAACAAATTTGAAAGGGGCGTTTCCATTCTCTCTGTTGCCTTGGTGTCAAGTAGACCCTAGGACTTTCCCAGGAGATTGAGGAGGTCTTCAGGAGGGCTGCAGCAGGCGCTAAGGGAAGGAGGCTGGAGAGACCACAGTGGGTCAGCAATGGCCTGGCTGCCCCAGTCCCATTTCTTCACTAAAATTAGAGCTCAAAGGTCCAAATGGGCAACTCAGTGATCCCTTAGAATTTCTGACATCAATAGAGCATAGGGGAAGACAGTTTGGAAGTATACATCAATCTTAATGCTCATGACATCATGAACTGCCTTGACTGCTGTGGCCAGAATAAATGGTAGAATCTGAGCCTACCTCTGATGCTGTAGACCAGTTAGCCTTTCTCGACTACAAAACAGGACTAATTTCATTCTGATTTCTAAGAGAGGATTGTGAGAGAAACTAAAAGAGCTAACACCAACCTGCCTTTGAACAGGAGCTGGGCACCCCATGATCACAGTATTGTTGTCGAGACACTGAGCACATTATTTGATTTCACATGTTTATATCCTGTTTTGAGCCCACAGTCTAATAGTCTCTCTCTTTTACACTTCCTGTCTATCCCTACATCCTTTTTTCTTCCTTATTCAGTCATTTTACACACACCTCGGTAGTTTTCATTTGGAGACTTTGATATTTGCTTTGGGGGAGGGAGGAATAAATTGATGTGATTAACATATTTTTTAAAATGTAGAGTCAAGTCCTGACTCCCAGGAGCGCTGTAGAAGGGACGATAGTAACATTTTTAGCATTATACAGACAAAAGGTCTACCGTAATTAGTTTTCCATGCATCTGTCATATTGTTCCTGGTAACCAGTGGAAATAACAAGCGAGCTTTGAGATAGTCTAAACTCTCCAAAAATACCTCAAATCTCCTCTGAGCTGGAACAGGAAATACTTTTATCCAGTAAATAGTAAACATATGGAACCTTTTAGCCTCAAGAAGTTGAGTAGGCTGGAAACATAAATAGCTTCAAGAAGGTTTAGATATTATTCATAGACGAAAAGAATATATAACAATTTGGGGGAAAGTTTAGAAGTTTGACAAGTGTTGATGAGGATATAGAGCAAAGGAAACGCTATATACTGCTGGTGGGAGTATGATTTGTTCAAAACTTTGGAAAAGAAGTTGGTATTACATTGTAAAGCTACTAGTCACATTCCTTATGACCAGTTCCACTTCTAAAGAAACCATCTGAGATGTGCTTCAGAGGACATATACAAAAATGTTCAGAGACGCAACACTTATCATAGGAAAACACTGGAAACAACCCAAATATCCACCGACAGGCAAAGACCTAAACAAATGGTAGTATATTCACTACATGGAAGCAGCACTAAATATCAATGAATTTCTCTACATGCAGAAATATGGATGAATCTTGGAAATGTGTTGATGAACAAAGCAATTCACAGAAGAATTATGTTTAGTATGATACCATTTTATCTCAAAAATATAAAACCCCCCAAAAAAGTTCTCATAGGGATCCATACATATTTGATAGGACTAATTTTAAAAAGCAAAGGAATAATTTTTAAGAAAAAAATTAACTTTTCTAATTTCAAGGAAATAAATGTGAAAAAACAGAAAAATATCAAGAAAAAAATTTAGGTCATCTGTGGTCCCACAATATAGATATAAACACTGTTAATATTTTGTTGTATTTTCCTCCAGCTTTTGTAATATGTAAAACTGGAATCAATGTAGCATTTTAAAAATGTATTTTCCTGTTTAGATTTGGAATCTTGTTTCCCTGAAGACAGCAGTGATGCTAGGTGTATATGGTATATTCATAATCTAATGTTCAGTTTTAAGTTGTATTATGTAAATCTGTAAGAATGATAACTTAAACTTTAGCATTTCCCTCACTGAAAAGTTTAAGAATTTAGAGAAGGACAATCACTTGTCAAGGTTGCCAGATGTCTTCCACTGTAATCTTTGGCTTCCAAATCAACGACGGAAATTTGTATGATGAGGTGAAAGGAATTTTTCCTCTGATGGCCTGCATTCTTAAACTCCGATCTCAACACAAAGAGATCTGTATTATTTCTGAATTTTTGAAAGCGTGAGGAAGTTTCTCTTAGTAGTTCATAATTTTAAAGACGGTTTCCACATTCCTGGCCATATATACAAAAGGTAAACAGCATAATATCTAAATTTCCTCTCCAATGTGTATTTTTAAAAGCCTGTTCTTTTACAACTACCTCAAACTACTGTCTACTCCAGTGTTGAGATGATATAGCGAATCAGTTAGAAGGTATTTTAAAGCATCTTCATGGTATAAGGTATAAGAAGTTCTAAACACTTACTGTTGATTTTAATGATTAAGTTGCAAAATCTTGTGAGAGCTGAAATACTATTTGTGTCTCCCCATGCTGGATTCCTACAATGTGGTTTTGGTTCAGGAGGTCTGCAGTAGGTCTGGACATTTCTACAGGTGATTCTGAGGCCCAGCCAGGCATGAGAACCACTGTTCTAAGCTTAAGGACATTAACCACGAGGTTCATATTTTAAAAACAAATAAAACAAAAACAAAAACTCCTTTCTTTTAAACCCCGCCTTGTGTTAGCCTGGGGAAGCAGATCAGTAGTCCACTTCTATTTGTCGCTTTCTGGGAGACGCTGGCAGCTTGGGAGATTCCCACCTTGCACTCCATCCAGAGTAGTTCAGTAAGTGACAAGTGAGGAAATGCTGTCCCCTTCCAAAGGCCCACCACTTCTCTTGGGGAAATGGTAGCACTTAATTTTTCTCACTTAAGAAAATACAGAATGCTTTAAGAGCCCTTTGTTTCCAGAAAGTCCGTGAACATAAAGGAGATTCAGGCTAAAGGAAAGTGGGAGACAGCCCTACAGAATGATCCCTCTGCTTTCTTTACTTTTGGCCAGCTCACCACGGAGCTGCTGCTGAAGACCATCTACCACTGATAACCTTTTCTGCTATCAGTGGCATTACAGAGAGGTCAGAAAGGCTGCGAGAGGGAGGAGAAGATGGACAATGTGAGCCCAAAGTGATTTCTGCAGGTCCCAGTTTGTGGCACTCTTCATGAGCTGGTTCGTGTAGGTCGATACTTTAAACGTCTACAGGATTAGGGGACAAAGGTAAGGCTGTCAGATCTGAACAACTGTCTATCTACCCAGGCATCAGAATTTAGAAAACAGCCAGCAGTTTTCATTTAACATTTTGAAAAGGTTTGTGCACCGTCTTTCCCCAACCACAAAAGAAAACACAACCACGGGGCAGATTACTCTTTGAATGTTTCATAAGGTATTAATAACCACAGCAACAGTAGAACTTGTGCTCAAAGTTTAAGAAGCTTTAAAATATCTTTAGTTCTTTTCATCTGACATTGTTTAGACTACCTTCAGAGATACTTTTCAACAGTTTCCTTACTGGAAAGAGTTGAGAAGTTTTATAAGGCCAGGGTTTACTAGGGTGACTTGATTTATAAGTTTCCTTTGAAAGAACAAGAGGGAGACAAGAAATGGAGCAGTAGCAGCAAACACTCATCAACCAAAGAGAGCTGAAATAGCAGACTGAGTTTTATGGAGAAATAACAGGTAGATCTGACCACCATAGTTAGACCTTTCATGCTCATTTCTAGAAATCAAGTTTGTTTGTTTGGTGTACCTTAGAGAAGTAGGTACTTTCAAATGGTCCTCCCACAAGTCTCCTTGGCAGCCAGCCAAGTCCACTGGGCCTCAACCAGCTACCCTAAGGAGTACTTTAAAGTCAAGTGAGACCTATCCACGAAGCCTCATACATAGTCCTGTAACAGGAAGCCACAAAAATATAGTAAGAGAAAATGCACCTGATTAAGTGTAATAAATGTAAGCATATGAGTCACCCTTGAATTATATAATAGCAACGAACAAAACAGAAAGAGGGGAAGAAGTACATTTAGAACAGTCCTTGAATCTGAGTCCAGTTTAGAAAAACGCACATTTGATAAAGATTTCTGAAGGAGTGGGGAGTTTACAAAGAAGCAGCAAAAATGTTCACAGAAGAGCCAGCAGATCTGTGTCACTGGAATTAGATGGAAACTTTCAAGGGCAAGGAATAAAATCAGAAGCAGCCATTTCCCCTCTCCTGTGTTCTTTCAGGCAAAATGAGCAGTGGTGGGTGGCTCCAGTGGGCAGCTTTGGCTGGAATTGGTATCTTACAAGGACAGTCAGTGCCCATTCAAAATAGCGACAAGCCCCTGCCTGCATTTAATTTAGACTGTTGCACTCCTGAATTTTTTTTTTTTAACAAACTAAAGAGAATGACCTGCTGAGAAGGGTTTAGCAAAGCACAGGCCTGAAACTGAAACTAAGGCTTTCCATTCTAGGGTGCTGGTCACTAAGTTCTTTTCAGCTCTGAAGTTCTCTGTCAGAGAAAGGGGGAGATAGGTGCTAACAGGAGAAGAGGTATTCACAGCCTGGCTTGATCCCATCCTGCTTCGGCACTGACAGGAATCACTGGGATAGACTTTAAAGTGGGGGAACACAGAACTCTCTAAGAACACAAGATTTCACCATGACTTGACAACTGGCTTGAGCCCAAGAATCTCTCACAGTAGAATGGCTTCTTGTCTTACCTGGAAAGCCTCCTCAGGTGACCAAGAGGAGAGGGAAAGACATTTATTTAGGGAGGACAGGATGCAGGTCACAGTAGAATAGGTCGTAACAGCATCAGGGACGTTATGCAGACAGATTGGTGAAGTGTGGCTCATCCCCAGGCACAAACCACATCAAAACCTACTCAGGACTGTGCTGGATGATTTTGCAATTGTTTATTAAAACAACAAACCAACCTGATTCCCACACTTGTGCTTGTCTTTTACTGTCAGAAATGGCAGGTCCTGACCTGCCTGTGCCAAGTCCTCAGCCAAGAACCTGAAGACTTTTCCTATACCTCAGTACAACTTAAATTTGGGGGGGGGGGTCCACATCTGCCATTGTTTTTGCCCCAGTCCAGAGTTCAGAGAGATGCAGCAGGAAGTCATGTTGCCCAAAATCTGCCAGAGAAATGCTTGGCTGTAAAGTAAGGAAATACAAGTGACCTTGAAGCTGGAAATGGACCCATTCTCTTGACTTTACAGTTAATTTTAATATAATCACAAAGGATGTCTGATTTAAAAGACAACTGCTGTAGACCCTCCTCGGCTGGAAGTCCTCATCTAGGGAGGCACATACTGTATGTACCCTGTGCAACAACGCCCAGGCCATGGTGGGCAGTGAACAGCCGGTTGACTGGAGGCGTCCGACTCACTGACTTAGTTAAATAAACTGGAGATGGAGAGACGGAGGAGGAGGCTGCAGACTGCAGAGTGACTCACACAAGCCCTCAGGTGGAAATTTCTCCTGATGCTCAGTTCTCGGCCCGAGGAACTGCAGGGGGTAAATAGCGTCTTTGGGGACCTATCTCCACCTCTAAAGGGGAGAGAATAAAAGCGCCGCCCCCATTTCCCCAATTTTGTGAAGTAACTTCTGTCCTGTGGGTCATTTCTTGGAAGAAGGTGTGGGGTTGTGCAGGCCTCCCTGGCGAGGGCGGCAAAGTGCTGAACTGTTTTAGAGGCAGCACGGTGCGTACGGGCGGGGCGTCCCCGCCGCGGATCGCGGGAGCCCAGCCACGCCATCTGTCAGGACTGTCCCCAGGGCAGCTCCCTCTCCCCCGGGGAAGCCTTGAAGGCGGTTTTTCAAAGTCATCGCCGCGCTTCCTCCGCTCCTTCCTTGGAGCCTCACGGCCGAGAGGGCTCGCGCCGTCATCTTCCTCCCGGCACCCCAGACCAGGGGCCCCCGGGGAAAGTTGCTGTAAAAATTCGGAGCAGGACGGAGGCCCGAGGACGCGCAGCTCAGCGGTGGG